GTCCTTTTGAGATTGGGAAGAATTCACAGAGCAATTTTATTTGGATGGAATCTGGAATCTGAAAAACTTAGTAAAATAGGTTTTACGCCTCCAATAAAAGCAAATTATTGAATAGATGAGCAGGGACTTGAACTCCACCATAAGCCAAAGTAGCGAGCCAGATAGTAATGAAACAGAGATTTATTATGTACAGTTGAACTACAGTGCAGAGGGTGTGTGCATATATCTTTACAATCAAATCCATCTATTTCAAATAATACCTTTTCCACTCACATATGATGATCCTTCCACAAAATATACTTAAATACAGTTACAATAAGGCAATGGTCCTATTTACAATTCTTATAAAACTGTACAAGAGGAGACAACATATATATGGAGATGTTTGCTACATGAAGTGATCTGTTATGTTTTTTCCTCCTCAAAGACATACCCAGAGTTGTGTTTTCTTTCATTCACACATGTCTGAGTAATCCTTTATTAGTAGTTTTTCTACATCTACAAAGCTCAAAATTCGCTGTTCCACCTTGTGATGTGAAGTGGCAGTTTTCAAGTTAACAGCTGCCTTGTCCTTGTACTGTTTGTTCAAGAGACATTGGCAAGACCAGGGCTGAAATCATCCAAATGATTGTGAAGATGTATAGATTTTAAAAACACAGTGGAGCACTTCATAGTACCATATGACATTACAAGGTGGAACATTTTTTTACACCTGGGAGAAGAGCTTAGCCTAAATATGCAGAATTTGCGAAAAACAAAACACAACTCCAGGTCTGTTTTTTGACGAAGAAACAATATCTGAAAATAGTGTAATATGGGCCCTTTAACATTTGTATCACCGCAAAAAAACAATATTTATTTTAGTTCATGTTTGCTTGTTTGTTTTGTACATCTTTTTAGGAATGTCATATAATTATAGGAGGCCACGCTACGGAGTTAGCTTATTTTCTATTTTCTCCTGGCCGCAGTGTCTTGATTACAGTGGAAGCAGGGCAACAATAGACACACAAATGACACTTAAGCCCAAAATGAGTCGTACTCCGGCAGAGCAAAGTACATTTCATTTAGTCTTTTTTCTGAGTGGAAAAACAGACTGAATCCATTATAGTAAACATGAAATTGAGATATTTACGTATTAAGTATGTAAGTATTAAGTTTGTGTTTAAACATATTTCTATCACAAATTAAGGTATTTGCTCATTCTACTTTTTGGGTATTCTAGTGCATGCATCCACAGTTTCTTAAAAAATTAAAGGGTCTCTATTATGTAACTAAGTATAAGTTTTATAATTATTTTATAATAATAATAATTAATTATTATTATTATTACTTTGTACCATTAAGAGTAATTATCATCAAAAATGTGTCTGGAATTTTGTTTTGCTTCATTTGCACGTTTCACTAAACCTCCTGGTTCACAGCTTGTTTTAATATGGCCCCTTGCCAATGTTGAAATGTAACAAAGTACAAGTAGTAAAGTACTATACTTAAGTAAAATATGAAGTATATGTACTTTACTTATGTACAATTTAAAGTGGATACTTTTTACTTTTACTTTTACATCTAAGAGCAGTTATCTGTACTTTCTACTCCACTACATTTTTGAACAGGACTGAAAAGTAAAAGTATTTTTTTATGATGGTCTGCTGAAAAGGCTGAGGGTTTGTTTCTAACATGCTCCTAATTTGAGCAAAGAAAAATATACAAATAAAAACAGGGGGAAAAAATGATAAATTGTTTCGGTTGAGCAAAATTAGGTTTAAAACTCTAAAATCTATCTTTACTTTTTACTTTATTATTATATATATATATATATATATATATATATATATATATATATATATATATATATATATATATATGTGTGTGTGTGTGTGTGTGTGTGTATATATATATATGTATATATATTTATATACATACATATATATTTTTTTAAATGCAACACTTTTACCTTCACTTGGGTTTTTTTTTTTGCTCCTTCTTCCACTACTGCTCCGCTCAAGTGTTTGATAATCATTATTATGATAGTGTCGTAATAGATTACAGTAGCGTGTATTTTACAGAAGTTTGCTTATGAGCATTTGTTACACCACTGATCCGGCACATGCCTGGATTTGAATATGGCCCGCAGGAAAAAACATAATTGCCCCCTCTGCCCTAACTGAAGTCATTATCCATGTTCTTTATCTTTTTGTAGTCCTGACATCTTCACCAAACTAGTTTTAATAATTTCATTGGCCAAATTCCCTGCCATTATTCAGTGTCAAAAGTTAAAAGTGTAGCAATTACAAACCTTGTTTTTAGCTCATACTACCAGTCAGACTCATTTCAATAAGTCAGCAGATACAGGTCCTGCATCTACCACCTAATACCACTTTTTATAACTACATGTCAGAAGCTGATTTTATTTTTTTTTTTGTAAATGAGTGTTTTATGCGAGTCAGTTGTAAAAGCAGCACATCATTTTTTGTCAACACAGAAGGTAAGAGTCGAAAGCAGTGCTTTGAGTAGCTGCGCTCAGGCGTTACACCCCTGTTTCACTTTAGTATATGAAAAACAAAAAAGAATGCATGTGAATATTAAAAGTGCATTATGTAACTTTTCTGGTTAAGGGTCTATCAAATGCTTTTCTTCATGGAGATGTTATTGCTTTGCCTGAAATGTTTCACAGTATGGCATCAAACCTTTCTATCATCATGGAGGCCAAAACCAGACCAAGTTACAGGGCAGATCTGTGGAGAGGTAACTCCCACTCACAGTCAGAATGCCTCTCTTTCAAGGTGCTGTATTTTTAAGCTATAAAAACCACCTGTAATTAAATAAATGTGGGGTAGAGCTGTTTAATGTCATACTGTGTTTGAGAGAGCTATGGATGAGTTAGAAACATTTAAAAACGTACTTTCTCCTTGTTGGTGGTGTGAAAATCAGGTACAACAGATAAAAGCTTAAGCTGTTTTTCAGACATTGTTCTAAAAAGAACTAAACTACATTATACAAAAAAAAAACAACAACAACAACATAATATAGACCCTTTAATTTCTATGGTCAAAAATTTGCTCCATAAATGAATAATGGTTATATATACAGTGTATATATATATATATATATATATATATATATATATATATATATATATATATATATATATATATATATATATATATCCAGTTTGCTGTTTCTGCTTCTGTTGAAAGACGCCAGGGTACAAGGCTGTTCGAGCTGAACTGTATACATTGAAATGACTGGCAGTTGGACAGTGGTGGCCTCTCAGGGGTCAGACTATTGCCAGTGTTTTTCCATTAGGTGCACACAGGGAACAATATCTCCTTACCAGGAATCCAGCACTTAATTAGCTCAGGAGAGAAAACAATAATAATTACAGCTTTAATGAGGTAAATGTGGTTCAGATTGCACACAGCGGCGATTGTGCAGGAGAGGGTATTAGAGGACATTGTCCAGACCCCAGCAGTGATTTTGGGACTGTTTAACAACTTAGAGCCAGTCATTAGTTTTTACTGTATTTCAGTAACAGAGGTAGGTTGAGATCTAGTTGAGTAATACATTTTTGAGTAACACGGTATTCCTTAAAGGTGTGCAATGTAACTTTTCTGGAAAAGGGTTCACCATCTACTTGTCTCCATAGAGATGCTATTTGTCTGGAATGCTTAGTGTTTAAACTTCTATCTCCATGCGCTACTCACAGTAAGAATACATTATTATACAAACACCTGAATATAAATGAATGCAAGTCAGATAAGTTTAATGCCATACTGAGAAACATTCCAAGCAAAGCGATGGGATCTCCATGGAGACACATGGTGGATACCACTTTTTTTTAGTACACCACTTGTTGGATTTGTTAATATCTTATTCTAAAGTTCTCTTCTAAATTTAATTATATTTGAATTTTTTGTTTACTTTTTGGAAATATTAAAAATTGCTCATCAAAGATTAAGACAAATTCTTGTGCTTGACCAACAATTTTCATTACAAATTTTTTTGTGTAATTTCAGATGGATAACCTTAAAATTCCACTACTATTACTTGAGCATAATAATACTACTACAATAATACCTTCTCTAATTACCTCCACATAACACCTCCAGTGACATTTCATTGGATGATGTTATTAGCCTCTGCATAGCAGTAAATCAGCACTGCGTTAGCGACCTGATCCATGCCAGACACACATTTTTAGTTCAGTTTTCTTTCACTACTAGCTTCAGCGCCAGATAATCTTCCTTTTCCTGCCCGCGTTATTCGATCAGTACTAACAAACAGCCACAAGTACAGTTAGGCTGCATATGGCTTCGAGGCTATGGAAATAAGTGGGTGTGGACGGTGCCAAGATACTCCTAAGGATTTGAGGAATGCCCGTACCATGCCTTGGGGGAGCCTCTTTGCTTTGATTGCATTACGACTTCATTATGGAGTTAGTTAGCTTTAGAATAATATTTGGATCGCAGGAATGTGTCTCAGTTACTGGTCTTTTTATTATTAGTAGTGAAATGAAATCCAGGATATTGTTGAAAGTGTAGCACTGCCTTGGAAATCCTGTTGAAAATAGTGATGGCTGATGGCAGTGATTTTAGTTTCGATCCAATACCGTGTACTAGGGTAAGTATTGTGATATAGATCCAATACCGATACTACTGAAGTGTATTTAAATGCACTGCAACTCCTTTGTAAAATAGATGCTTACCTTAGCATCATGCTTTTACTCTACCCCAGCTTGAACTAATCTAAATAATAATAATAATAATAAAGATAGCTCAGTGTTGAGATAATTGGTATTGCCCATCACTAGTTGATGAGACAGTTCAATTACTGTGATACTGGTGCCACACCCCCCCAAATGCAGCGCATTTGGAGTCCTATTGCAGTGTAAAGTGCTTGTTCTATTAAATTAAATCAGAAGTCAATGGGAACAGGATTAGAAATACAAGAAGGGTACAATTCTGGAAGACTTGAATGCAGTCTTTAGGTCCCGTTCCAAGGAATGAGGTTGTTTGGATACAAGTCCCTCTCTCCTGTAATTGTCCTTCTTTAATAACATCATAAAACAGTGACATCAGGGCCCCTCGTCGATGCTGATGCCCATACGCTTCTGGATGGTGACTCTGCGCATGGAGGGCTGGGAGGTCAGTTCAGGTTTGGGCTGGAACTGCTCCTTCAGGATACGCAGCACATTGTCCATTTTCTGGTCCATCTGATGCACCTGGACACAAGAAGGAGACAGCCCAGGTCAGGTTTGTGTCACAGTAATCAATAAAAAAAAATACAACAGTAAAAAGTGAACATTTAAACTAGAAAGGTTTGCATAGACCAAAGCCAAGGCACTGGTTTTGACTTCAACTTCAACTGCTCACTGAGCTATAAAGCTGTAATTTCACTAAAAGGTTAAAATCTAAAAAAAATGTAATCATGTAAAAATGAATCTGCAGAGATAATTTTGACTTGATAATGAATTATTTAGCTTTTAAGGTTTAGAGATTGCTTTGGGTCCACTTCCATCTTCTAACAATCTCTTTAATACAACAAAACTCATATTTCTTATAAATCTCAGCACACCCCACGTTGGGTGCCCCTGTATCACACGTCACAGTACTGATACTTGCGCATCAATTTGTATGGATATCCTTATTCTAACAAATGTGCTCCTTAGTTTAAACATTTTAAAAGCATTGGTCAACATAATTGTTCACCTCAACAAAGCTTTAACCATAGACAAGCATTACGAAACTTAAGAATGCCTTTGTCCCTGTCCTCTGTGAGCTGGTCCAGAATGACAGAGCAGTGCGATGTAATGACACGTTTGAGCGCTCGTCGCCGTCTACCTGCCAAAGCCCCTCATTACACACAGTACACACACACACGCAAACACAGTACACATGCAAACACACACACACAGTTGACACACACATGATGAGAGGCAGACACTGGTGTTTACAGGCAGACCAGGGTAAACACAGGTGCGTCAGTCAACTACTACCTTAACACAATGGAACAGCAGACTGAGGAGTTCATTTGTAAAAACTGATATTTCAGCTTTGGAAATTTCACATTTTTCTATATATACAGCACATCATTAATTAAAATAAAGTAGCCGACTGGAACTGATCATTAACTGGTGAAATATTTTATTGCAGTGAAATAAATGTGGCTTTTGCTGGGTCTATGCACAAAGTTTGCCACTTTGCCACTACTCTGATTTTGCAAATGAACTGGGTCTAATATTTAAACTGTAAATGACTTATGTTTTCTGTAAACATTTTCTAACAGTGTATTTTTCTTGGAGGAGCCTTACATTTTCTGAGAATAATGTAGCTCATGCCATAATGTAACTTATAAAAACAGTTTTGGAAACAATAATGTTCATTATTCTAATCAGCCTCGTTTGTGGATGTTTTTCCATCTAATATCAGCAGTAAACAAGGTTGTTTCTCAGAAGACATCGACTCCACGAAAAAGGCCACTGTTGTTTTTCCTTAGTACTGGCATTAAAAAGTGTTGATCTGAACTTCTGAAGATGTTTTGCCTTTCATCTAAAAACTACTTAACATGCTATCTTTTATGTTTCAAACCAGTTTTACAACACAACACGTAAATACACATTTCTCAAACCTAAAGGGTTTCCCTGTTCCCGGGATATGAATTAACTTGTCACGTTCAGCCCTGACAGGAGTCAGATGAAACCCTAGATGTGCAATGATGTCACTACACACTGTTTAGCCCCAAATCCATACTCTGTGTACACATGTGGGGTCAAAGTATATGCTTATGTCCCCAGGAGGGTGCGTTGTCACAGTATACACAAACAATGGAGGGGGCATGCAGTGTACATACAGACACAAGGAGGCTATGGCCAAAGTGTACATACAGATATAGGAGGGGGCGTGGCCATAAGTGTACATGCAGATACAAGAGGGGGCGTGGCCACAAGTGCACACACAGACATAGGAGGGGACATGGCTCTACTAAAATGCACACAACAACTTCAAAGGGCTTCAGTGCATCTCTGTGTGCAGCCCTGGCCTTTGTTTTACCCCAGCACTTATCTAGTTATCCCTCCTTACTCAGCAGCAGAGGCACACATGCACCAAGCACACTGGCTCCAAAAGAGAAGAGAAAATGATAACGACATGTTTCATAAATCACAGGTTTAAGAGCAGAGGACATCAAAGAGACACACCATATTACACACCACTGCCCTCTGTGTGTGTGTGTGTGTGTGTGTGTGTGTGTGCATGTGCGTGTGCTTGTGTCTGTGTGTGTGCATGTGCGTGTGTGTGTAGGTGTGTATGTATATGTGTACAGAACAGATAACCACGGCCCCACTGCATTGGCACGGCACATACATACTTAACATCTAGGATTTTTGGGAAGGCTTGGAGGAGGAATGCCTTTTGGTTCTCCTGAGCTTTTAGTGCGTGAGCATGATGGTCCAGACATCTTTATAGCAAACCCAGACATTTACTGCCTATTATTGTTCTTGAAGTATGAGGCATTTGAGAAGGAATGAAGCATGAAGATTGCAGCGTGTTCAAGATGGCATTTATTTATAAATGGTGATATTATAATGTGACAGGACAGAAATCTTAGATACAGGTAGTGAAAAGGCTGTAGGTGCCTTTTCACTCACTTGAGTAAGTTTTATATTTAAATTCTGGTTAAAGGTACAATGTGTAACTTGACCAGGTGGCGTCAACTGCTTGTTTCCTTGATAGTCAGTTTGATACCATACCGTGAAACATTCTAGGTGAAGATATGGATCTTCATGGAGACAAGCAGGAGTAAGACCCTCCACCAGAAAAGTTACATAATACATCTTTAAGCATGGATATAGATATGGAACAAAACTTTTCACTGGACCTTCAATGGGTGCTTGTATGAATTAGGTGTATTAGGCTCTAGGTGTGTAAGTGTAATGATGTATAAAGATTTTTTTATTAGATGTAGTTTGCATATGTGTATTTATCATGATTTTGCCTGTTTTTATAGATTTTTAAAAAATTATAATCTTACTTCCTGGTTGGACATGGCCAGCAGATGTGACATACATAGACGTATTTCCATAAGTGTTATCTCTGGCGATGATATTGTAAACAAAGATCAAAGGTCATCTAATATACACAATATTTGACCTTTATTTTGTGAAACTGTCCCTGCAATTTGGGTGGAATTTTCGGTGTTGATCGGTCGAAGTGTTCCATTTTAGAACTGCTATTTCCTGTTGTTTGATCATTTTCTTTACAACTTAAATGTCGTTTAATCGATGTAAAAAGATTATGCATATTTACCACAGCTACTATCCTACTGAACCAAGTCCTAATTACAATAACATAAAAATCTGTCTTACATACTTTAAAAGTGCATTGTGTAACTATTCTGTTGGATGGCTCGTGAAATGCTTTTCTCCATCATTCACAATACGGCATTAAACCTTTCTATCTTGATGGAGAGGTTACAGGTCAGATCTGTGGAAAGGCAACCCCATTCACAGTCAGCTTTTCAAGGTATTTTTAAGCTATAAACAAGGAGGTGATGGACTTTTAAGTTATCCCAAAGAAGCTTGTTTGCTGATCTCCAAAGTGCTTTCCTCTCTGCTAGTACTGTGACCTAAATAGTTGCACTAAGTCGACGAAGCACGCGCTGGGTCCGGATGAAGCTTAGGGAATAATAGACTATCATAAACATGCTGGCCCATAATCTACAGACTTCTCAACATTCTCCTCAAGGCTTAAAATGGATCAGAAATTCCTCCTGCTGTGACTCTGAATGCAGCAACCCCGGAGACCTGAGAAAACATATTAGACTGACGCAGGACACAAGACTTATTTATCGCCACTTAACCGAGGTCCGCAGTGAGGAGAAGGGAGGGGGAGAGAGAGCAAGAGGAGGGAGTGAGGGATTGTGTAAGGGCTGCTGCTGTATTAATGTACAGTGTGTCGCAATGGGACGTTATGCGGAGGTGGAAAAGTACTTAAAAAATTGCAGCTAGAAATACTGTTACAAATAATGATGCATCTTGACTGAAAAATATAATATGATTTTAGATGGATTTCAGAATGACAAAAAATGTAAAAAGTCCTCAGACTGTCACAGGAATACATGAATACTACTGTGCTGTTCCCCCTCAAACAAAGGACTTAGGTGTATGCCTGTCATGATAAAAAAAAAAAAAAAAAAGAAGTATGATATATTGCTTAAGTAAATCTAAATGAAAAATTATACTGAAACAAATTTATGCCACTGACACAATAACCCAAGAGCAGATTTAAACCATAAATGTTAAATGAGCTACAATAAATACATACCAAAATAAAACACTTTAGCACTTAGTTTGCATCTGTAATGAGTCATTTAAGTTATGTATTGAACTTTTTACGACTTAAATATTATCATATAGCCAAGAAATAATGAACAATTTCTCAGTAGTGCAAAGAAAATGTACACATGATAAATACTGACCCCCAATATATTGTTTCTGCTTTCATATATTCAACAATAAGTTGATATACTGTATATAATTATAGTGACAGGTCTACTTAGATGTTATAAAGGTTGTATTTAAATGTATCTAGCTCCATGGAGACAATGAGGTCATGCCACCACGCCAAGTTACAGGCCAAATCTATGGACATGCAAGCTCACTGTAAGAATGCTTTTTTTCCCTTTTTTTTCCAAGGTATTTCTTCTTAACAATAAAGCACCTGTAATTAAAAGAGGGCAAGATAGACAACTTGCTGTACTGTAAAACATTCCAGGCAAATAACATCTTCATGTAGACAAGGAGATAAACCTCACAAGAAAAAGTTATATAATGCACCTTTAAAATTGCATATTGGTATGCTTTAGTGAAAACAGGTAGGCTAGAGCTGCAATTGTCACTATACTTCAAACTCCCAACCAAAATAAAACAACTGTTACTCAGATTTAAAATTACATGTTTTGAAATTATAAAGTACGTAGCAAATATGTAAGCAAAAATATGTAGTTACAAGGAACTTCTTTTATAAAAGCATACTGAAGTTACATTTTGCTTAGACAGGAAAGAATATCTAAACAAGGAAGTATAGGAAAGAGCCTATACCTTTTCTTGAATACATTTGTCAAACCTTCTTGCCACCCTCGAGGCTGCAGCTTCACTATTATGCAAATATGCAGCCATAGCTCTTGTACACAGCAGCCTCTCCTCCATACAGTTCCTCATGGGTG